GGGGGGGGGGGGCCTCCTGCCGGCCTCGTTAGCGGGCAGCTGAGGCTGAGTCAAGGTCAAGGCCAGGGAGGCACCAAACACAGTCCGGTGACCCACAGAATTCCCTCACCCCCTGACCCCCACCCGCCTACAACGCCTGGGTCCCCTCTCTGCCAAAACCCAAGGCTTCAGCCACAGCCCGCCCCACCTTCCCGTGACCCTCACCGGGGAAAGTTCCCCCGCCGGCTGCCAGACGGGATTCAGCTCCTTTGACAGTCAAAGCTGCAAAGCTCCCGTCGCAAATGTCAATTCTGGGCCATTTGCTTCGTAGATTTTAATGTTCCTGTTTCTCCTCAACATCCTCAGCAAGGTAGCTCTTGCTTTTCAAAAGGGATGTGGCGTTTGATGATGTTTAAACCGTACGTGAAATACAGCCAGGCGGCAATAATAAAACAGACGCGAGCCCTGCTGGCAGGGGAATGGCTGACAGCCGGGCCTCTCTCTTCCCACATGCTACTCCGCAGCTAAGCTCCTATTTTTATGACAATTACAATGTCCGAAGAGGGGGAGGAAGCAGGGATGGGGAGGAAGGGGGTGGGTACGGCCGTACGAGGACCACTTGTAGCTGCTGGGAGCGGGGTGCAGCGGATGGGGTTTGAATGAACCAAAGCGGGTGATGCCAGCCGGGTGTCCCGGCAGAGAAAGGCCAGCCCCATCCGCCACCGGGCACTGCCCTCCCGAACCGCTGTTGGCCCTGGCTCCGTCCCCCAGTATCCGTCCTCCCTGGTGGCAGTGGGGGGGGGGGCTGAAGTCCTCACTGGCTCTGTCTCCTGACACAACCCCTCCTCCCCCACCGCGAGGACACTGATAGCTGTCGCCCCGTGTGCGGGAAGCAGGGCTCAGGGCACAGGGCACCGGGCAGCCTCCACCTAAGGGAGCTCCGCCACCACCTGTCATCAGGGAGCTACTGCGCAGGCAGGCATCCTCGGGCCGCCCTCGCCACCCAAGGGCACCGCCGCGTGCACAGCCCCGTCCAGGGATGGCGACCTGGGGTCAGTGGACACCTGCCCTCCAGGGGCTCCCGTCTGGTGGTGGAGTGAGGTATTTCACTACTAAGAACGACAGTTGTCGCTCACGGAGCCCCTGAGGCCTGCCAGGCACTCGTTCAGTTTCCTCTAACCCTCCACAGGGCGCACCGGTGGAAACCGCGGCTGGGAGAAGCCGTCAGCGGAGCCGGATTTTTACCCCAGTCTGTATCGTG